TAGAAGTGTTCTGTCACGCGAGAACAGCCTAATCAAAGGTAACTAAGCTCATCGTAGAACAAAATTACCATCCAATCACAATTCGTTATCAATTAACTTGCAGTAAGTGAAGGCGGGATAGATAGGGGTAGAATGACACAACAGAAACGCTCTCTCGGCCGCGCGCCCGCGCGATCCCAGTTCTGCGATCAGTTCTCCTTCACACACACACCTGTCAAAATGTCCATCATGTGAAGCATCTCACGTAAACACAGTCGGTTATGGCTTAAGTGAATGTAAACAGGTGGGTGAAAACCGGATGTGTGTCAGTATATTACATTCATTTGGCCTTAAAGGGACAGTAGCACTGCATTTCTGTCTCATTAAAGGCAGGGTATGTGATTTTTCAAAAACACTTTAGATGTCTTACGGTTTGTAACTTGCTTCTTTATTTTTTAAATAACTAATGTACGTGTGTGTGTGTTTATATATACATATAATTTAGATATCATGAAATAAAATTTCTCATAACATGGTCATATATCACCCCCCCCCGTCCTATATTGAACCATGAGAAATCTGGTCACCCTAGACAGATAATGTGAGCGTGGATCAGTGTTTGATGAACGCACCAGCCAGCCTCCAGTGATGACGAGCGCGTTCTTGCCAGGCTCTGTGAAAAACGGCTCCTTCAGCTTCTTATTGCGTCCTTGAGGGTCGTTGCGCCTTTGGGTCTGTCTGTTCCTCAGCTGAACACTGAGAGAGTAACAACAAGAGAGTCAGAAAGCAGACGCTCAATCTCAAGCCACTGACTCATTCACAGACGTCCGTCAGCTGACACGTACTTCACGTCCTCTCCGTAGTGGATCTTCATATCGTCTGTCAGCAGCTGGCAGGAGAAGCCGATGTTCTCAGCGGTCTCTGAGTATGAGACAAACCAAAACCCATTAGAAATCAAACCTATCTCGCTTAAAATAAAGCAATAAGCCCCAAGAAGCCGTGGTTTACAGTGAATTTACAACAGCTAAGGGGCGTTGTTAGGCACGATGCGAAGCGGAGTATGTAGTAAAGTTTCACAGAATAAAACAGAGCAAATAAAGTGTAATGATATTAATAAAAACAGTATTCTTCCACCAAACAATGTAGTTCCTCAGAAA